CTTCAGCAGCTTATTCCTGCCTGTCGTCCAGGTAGAATTGGGCAGGAACAATGGTATGAGCTTCTGTCCTGGAATGTGCTTGACTGACTTGGTGAAATCATCACCCCATGCCAAGTAAATAACTGTTACATGTTCCCACGTGGAACGTCTTTTCCAGCGCAGACTGGGCTCACCCTTGCCAGTGACCATGTACACAAATCGTCCTGGCTTCATCTTTGCAGCAACATTCTGGATCGGTGGCAGTGTAGGCAACAGTTCCCTCCTAGTAAAACTGGGTGTAGAAAACAGCCAACCGGAGGTAACCCTCTCTTCTGATTGGACGGCGGGTGGCACGAACAGGTCTCTCTGTTTTAATCGTTCTCCCCCTACTGAGGGCAAAGCTGGTACGACCAAATGCTGCTTAAACGATACGAGCGTGACCAACATCACCAGGCAGCTGACGATTGCTAGCCGCCATCTTCTAGAATGCCGCAGGGCACTGCAAGTGGGTCTGAGCGAACGCCCATCATACATTATCATCATTGTGGAACAGCAGCCACAACGCAATCCGCAAACATGTACTTCAGTACCTCTTCGTGCTGCAAGCGCAGTTGGGATCCGCTGCCAGAAGTCTTCAACATACCTATGGATTATCCCATGAGTACGAACCTAACTACGAGGGGTATACCGCCGAATATAATAATCTTTCTTTACTTCAGGATTATAATATTACCCAAAGGTTGACGCCTACCGGGGGAAAATATGAGGGATGCAGAAAACACAGAGTATGAAAGAGTTTATCCCATGGTACGAAACAATTAAATTATTTGCTAGGGAGGTGACACGGCACAGAAATCCGTGTCACAGGGGTTGACTTGCACCCATAACCCCTCGTTGTTATTTTTGGAATAGTTCAGTCCAATCCAGTCCGAAAGGTCATGCTTGGATCGACTCGCCTTCTGTACTTCACCTCCAAGCGTGCCGCATGGGTGTCTACATTGTAGTTTTTGAAATTTTTGAGGCAGCACATTTCGTTTATAGCCCATCACTGCATACTGGCCAGTATTCTTTGAAAGACTACCAGCCTGAAATAAAGAAAGATTAGCAATTTTTGTAGCTCCTGCCATGTCCGAACTACTTGATAGCAGTGATGGCAACAGCAGCAGTTATGAGACGGTGTGTAGTGTTGCGGTAACTGTTCAGAACTCAGTGTTCAGAGTCGTATCCTAGGTTAATCCGAATACTAAAAATTGACCCAAATTGCACATAACACGAAGCTGGTTTTTGAAAAATGTAAGTCGTGTATCTGCCCCATTTCTTCTTTATGACTTGCACAATGGTCCAGTCTGCCTAAATAACACATTTATAGCAGGGGTTATATACCATATTAGAGAAGTACAACCAGTGATATTGTCATGTCAATGCTACAATTTTGACACAAATTACACATAACACGAAGCCCGGTTTTGAAAAATGTAAGTCGTGTATCTGCCCCATTTCTTCTTTATGACTTGCACAATACACCAGTCTTCCTAAACAACACATTAATAGCAGGGGTTAATTAAGTACCATACAAGAGAGCTACATGTACAAACCCTGTAGTACAGTGGCACGCGTTTTTCAAGCTCGTAGCTTTTCGTTTTTTTGGACATCCCAGCCGTCATCAGGCCGGACTGGAGATAGCTAGGTGGGTAGTAGTAGTAGTAGTAGAAATAGTGTAGGATAGTCTAGATAGTTAGGTAGGGCCAGGCAGGAACCCTTCGCCATGGGCGAGCTCTCTGCTGAGGCCGTGACGAAGCTGCTTTGCACCCTCCCGGGGATTGAGCAGGGTCTCCTTTCAGTGATGCAAACGCTGGCAAAGTTCACAACCGAGTCTGCTGATCGCGAAGCGCGTATGAAACGCAAAATTGGTGAGCTGGCAGCGGAAGTAAAAGATTTGAAGGAAGAGTTAGTTGTTTCAAAAAACTCCGCCATTGCCTGGATGCAGTCGAAGACGACGAGAAACAGCGTTCAACCCCTACGCTGCCTCAAATCGCGCTGCCTCAGTTTCCTCAGTGTATGCACGTCATGAAAAGGAGAAACGCCGGAGATATGAGCAGCGTCTGCTTGAGGTTGACCGCGCCACGTTCGTGCCAGTAGTGCTGTCAGCCACTGGTGGCACTAGCAAGTGTGCATCGGCCCTGTTCAAGCGTCTTGCCAGCATGCTATCTGACAAGCTGAAGGAGCCGTACTCCGTGACGATGGCATGGCTTCGCTGCAAGCTAAGCTTTGCATTAGTCCGAGCTAGCGTGATGTGCCTTCGTGGGGCAAGATCATCATCAGCACACCGTGTCACCAGGGACCCTGCGTCTGTAGTGGTAGCCCAGGCACGTGTTTCCTTGCAGGACTGTTGAACTAAAGTCAGACATGTACATTTTTGTCTAGAGGTCTAGTCATGTACTTGTCATGATTCTTTTCTATTTTATTCTTTTTACCAGGCGTGGGCCATCCCCTGGATTATCAAAATGGGTGCCTTATTATTTTCTTTTTTTTTCTTTTTTTTCTGTTTATTCTTTTTACCGGGCGTGGGCCATCCCCTGGACTATATCAAAATGGGTGCCTTATTATTTACCTGTAAAAAAAAAAAAGATTATTATGAAAAATCACACCATTATACATGTGTTGTAGTAAAAAAAAAAAAAAAAAAAAAAAAACGAGAAACAGCTCACCAGTTCAAGCAGACGTACATCGTACGCAAAGTAGTACCAGCAGTACCCGTGCCAGCAAACGCAGGGCCAAGCAAGCTGCAGCTCACATGGAACCCAGCAGCACCGTATCACGTACTGGCGTCACAAGCGCGGATCGAAAACCCCACGGCCCCAGGCCCAGGGAAGCGGTGGCTTGGCAAAGGCAGAGTGTTCTGAGTCACAGCCCAAGACAGATGTGACAGAGTCTAAGTCTCAGACAGATGTGACAGAGTCCAACGGCAAGCCAATCTTCCATGTTATCGAGGATGACTCATGGAAGCGCTTGTCTCCTCAGAACCACCCAAGAACAAGCGTGCCGTAGTGTACGTGGGCAATATCGCCACAGATAGCACTGAGAGCCACTTCAGGCAATTTATCAGGAGTGAGTTTCTGGGCGCCTCTATTCCTGTCCACACCTGCAGTGTATGGCTGTCAGAAAGTGGGCGTGCTTCCGCCAGAGTGACCATCGATGCCACTTCATTCTCCACAGTTACAGCGCCCAACTTCTGGCCAAGACCCCTATACTGCAGGCCATGGAGGTTCTCTGAAACCAGCCCTGAGGGCAGCACCAGCAGTCGCTGCCACAGTAGCAGAAACAGCACCTCTGCCAGTGTTCTGACTAAACAGCAACAGCAACAGCAACAACAGCAGCAGGGCTCAACCATTGTAGCGCTGACACGACTCAGGCTGTTGCCAGTACGCTCTCCACCGCAGTCTCCTCCTTGGCTGCATGGCTGGAAGAGCGAGGACTGATTCTGAATGAGAAGAAGAGTCAAGTTCTCACAGTCTTGGTAGAGACGCTGGACCCCGGGTCACAGTCCTCTGTCGCAGCCAAGCTCTGCCGACAGTCACCAGCGCGAAGTACCTTGGCGTCATCATTGACGAGGGGCTGAACTTTCAGCAACACCTGAAAGCCATTACAGCAAAGGTGTCCCGCAAAGTAGGTGCCCTCTGGCGGACTCGGAGATGCTTGAGCCTGGCGGCCCGAGTCACCTACTTGAAGTCCGTGGTGATGCCGGATCTGACCTACGCATCAAGTTGTTTCGTGTTCTGTCTAACTGCCCAGCAAGCAACGGATCTCCAGACGCTGGAGAACAAAGCGGTTCGCGCAGTTTTTGGCGCTCGGCCATACGACTCTGCTCAACCTCTGCTCCAACGGGTGGAACTCTACCGAATCTCAGTGCTGCACAAGCAAAAGGCGCTATTGCTCACCTGGCGATGCATCCACGGCATTGCGGGGAACCGGCTCTGTGGACTGATTTCAAGGTCACCAGATCGGCGTACCCGCTTGCAGAAGGACATCGGAGCGCACATACCACCCGCCGCAAGCCGCGCTGGTCAGGCTAGGTTCTCTGTTGCCGCTCCCAAGCTGTGGAACGCACTACCCAGCGACATCCGCACCATCCCCCAACGCAGTGTGTTCAAGATGTCAGTCATCCCACATACGCTCGCTCCATGAAACGTATCACCCATTATTCCAATCACTGTTGCTGTCGCATCCACTCGTATGTCGCATCCACTCGTAGTCCACGTCCACTGATGTCGACCGAGGTAGCGCTCTTGCTACTGTGTAATAGTGACATGTACCCAGCTAATGTCTCTGCTTCGTTCAGGGAAATCAGAATAGGAAGTCTGCTGTATACCATGTACCACCCGCTCTTTTCTTTTTACTTTTAAAAGCGATTATTTGTAACATGGAAATTTGTTCCTTGGCTCACCATCTGAATTCTTAAAGCTATTATTCATTTTCTGCTGCCCCCGGTTATTTCTTTTATTAGTATTATTTTCTTTGCCTTCGCTTTCTTGTTATTGGGCAACTTGCCCGTTAGAATCTGCGAAGTAAAATAAACAACAACAACAACAACAACAACAACAACAACCTCCTCCCCGCCGCCGCCGCCGCCACCACCACCGGCAGACATCATCTCCACTCCACTGCCTGGTGGCCAAAAACGGAGAAACTCCCACCTCTCCCCACCAGAGGCTGGAGACCTGAAGAGATCAAACGGATCTGCGCCACAACATGACCTACATGGTCACCAATGAAGCGCTTCCTCAGGCTCCTACTCACCAATGCTTTTGGCCTAAAGTCAAAGCTTGGTGAACTAACTTACTTGCACATGTTGCAAAGTGCTCCTCACCGGTACTACACCTGATGTCATCGCTGTTACGGAGACAAAATTCTCAACCGCAAAGGTCACTGACAGTGAGGTCTGTCTGTCCGGATACGCTCCCCCAATCCGACATGACAGAAACGCTCATGGAGGCGGAGTTGCCATCTGGGTGAAATCAAACATGGCCTTCCAGCACCTGGACCGGTTCAGCACGGAACACCACGAAGTGATATGGATATCTGTATCAACAGCTAGCCGGTCCAAGATTGTTATCTGTGCACTCTACCGATCAGGCTCCACAGCCGGAACAGACACTGAGCTGATTGAATACCTTGATACCCACCTAGATGAGGCCTGCAGCCACGGTGACTATGTTATCCTCACAGGGGACTTCAATGTCCACAATGCAGCATGGCTAGGGAGCACCAAGACTACCTCAGCAGGAGAAGCAGTGGAGGAACTCTGCTATGTTCATGGCCTGGAGCAACATGTCAACATCCCCAAACGTGGAGACAACACCCTGGACCTTGTGATGTCTGACTTCAGTGAACTGGTTCAGGTGAAATGCCATGCCCCACTGGCACTGGGGTCCTCTGACCACGCTGTCCTCACCATGGACTTCCCTATCTCTGCGTTCCGTGAACCAAAAACCACACGCACTGTCTGGCGGTACAACCAAGCAGACTGGAACCGCCTCTGTCACTTTTTCCTAGCCTATGACTGGTCAACTGCCTTCACCACCAGCGCTGATGAGTCGTGCGCCAACATCACCGAAGTTATCTCCAGGGTATGTCACGTTTCATCCCATCCCGGCAACTCACATCCCGGCCGACGGATCCAGCTTGGTGGACCCCTGAGTGCACGGATGCCATAAAAGCAAAAGAGAGGGCTTGGGCTACTGCCAGACGGCAGAAGTCAACAGCAGCGCGGGAGACAGCCTCAGCAGCCACTCTACGTTGTAATGACATCCTCCAGCATGCCAAGGTGGCCCGCCTGGCTACCCTGCGCACTAAGCTCTCCAAAGCTAGCCTGAGTGACCGCTCGTGGTGGTCTACCATCAAGCAAGCAGGTGGCAGCAGCAGAAACACGTCCATCCCAACTCTCACGCCGCAGCCTGGTTTGGAATGCGTATCAAATGCCGAAAAAGCTGAGCGTTTTGGGCAGTATTTCGCCTCAAAGTGCAGCCTGGGCGCCGACGACTTCCCCGCCAACCAACCAGCGACTGATTTCCCCCACGTTGCTCAGCGCACGGCTGAAAAACTCTCAACGGTTCGGTTCCGCCCTGCCACTGTCAAGAGAGAACTCCGGCGCCTAAATGCATCGAAAGCTACTGGACCGGATTGCATTCCCGCGCGAGTTCTGAAGATGTGTGCTGACCACCTAAGTAAGCCACTCTCCAAACTGTTCTCCCTTAGCTTCTACAGCATGGTTATGCCGACATCCTGGAAGACAGCTAGAGTCACACCCATTCACAAGAAGAAATCCAAGAACCTGCCTCAACACTACAGACCTGTGTCTCTGCTGTCTATCATATCCAAAGTGATGGAAACAATTGTCAATCGTCAGATAACCAGTTTCGTGGAGTCCCACAATGTCATCTCTGCGAAACAGTTCGGGTTCAGAAAGGGCCTGAGCACAGCCGACGTCTTAACCAAGCTCCACTGTGAATGGTCCAGAGCAGCCGGACTAGGAGGAGCCGCCCGTGTTTTGGCGATAGACATAGCAGGCGCCTTTGATAAAGTCAGCCATGCTGGCCTAGTGCATAAGGCTTCCGTGTACGGTCTAGACGGCCCGCTTCTTGGATGGCTGGAAAGCTACCTGCACAACCGGCGCCTGCAGGCTGTTGTGGGCGGCCAAGAGTCCTCCCTGCACCATATCCAAGCAGGGGTACCACAAGGTAGCATCCTTGGACCAACGTTATTCCTCCTGTACATAAATGACTGCGAGGACACCTTGCCTGCTGGTGCTGAGCTTGCCACGTATGCAGATGACACGACACTGTATCAGTGCATCTCTGCCACCGCCAGCATATCCGACTCTGCAGCAGAACTCCGGGAAGCGTCAGGTACATCCAGACTGGACAAAATCCAGCACAAGGCACTGAAGGTGATTGGCCCAGGCGCCTGGCTCCCCAGCCTGAAACACCGCCGACTGGTTGCTGCGCTTTCGTTCACGTTCAAGCTGTCTTACCTTCCAACAACAAGCCCCCTGAAGCCCATCCTCCCACCTCCAGCCAATCCCCGCCCAGTGGGTGGTCGATCCACTAGGTTAGCCACGGAGACTGTCCACTGCCCCCCGCTCCAGCTCAAGTCGACGCTGCCCGTGCGCATTCGTAGAAGCCTCCAGGGTTCCTACCCAGACTGCATTATTCCCTTGTAGAACAGCCTACCAGCGACCATTCTACCAGCACGGCCGCAACCCAGCCAGCTCCAATCATTCAAGGAAAAATGCAACAAGTATCTGCTGCACCTGAACTGGCAAGCAGCCACCGACGCCCTATGAAACGGTTTAGACCAGTGCCTCACTAGCATCCTGCCCCCCCCCCCTTACCACAATGTGACGTTATCTTTCACTCTGCTTCTCTCACGACCATCTACCCATTGTCCTTGTTTCTCACTGTTATTCATTTCCCCTCTTCCTCCCCTCTTCATGGTTTTACTGCATTATGGCGCGCTTTGTCTGCGTAGACGCCGAGACCTTTGAGGTCGGCAGAGCAGCCTGGCCCCGCCACCACTTCTCGCACATATTCGGGAATATAGTGGACTTTCGTATAAAAAAAAAAAAAAAAAAACACATGTACATTGTACATCTAGTAATACAATGTACTGTCATAAACAGCCAGCAATTTTCCTGCAGGAGTCACACCACCATCGTCAATATTTCCAACGGAAATCCTCCTACGTCGTTAGATACACTAGGGAGGTTTAGTCCCACGTAATCCGTGGGTACTTTACGTGTGTGTACCACGTGATACCCCAAGTGAGGAAATATCTCCGTAATCTGAAAACTGGCAAGTCCCCTGGTCAAGACGGAATTACCAACGAAGTTTGGAGAGCTCTTGCTCCGTCTGTTGCCTATCCTGTGTCAATTATCTTGAATATGTCATTTCGCGAAGGGAAACTCCCAGCCATGTGGAAAACTGCGGTAGTCGTGGCCACCTACAAAAATAGAGGACCACGCACCACCCCCAGCAACTATCGCCCTATCTCATTGCTCTCTACTTTATCAAAAGTGTGCGAACGTGTTGTATATGACATCATTTATGATCATGTTCGCATTTCACTTTCGCCAGCACAGTCGGGCTTTTGTCGGGGTGACTCCACCAGGTACCAGGTTACCCGCCTCGTGCAAGACATCCACACCGCCCGGAACGCCCATAACCATGTTGGTTTAGTTTTCTTCGATCTTGCAAAGGCCTTCGACACTGTTTGGCACAGTGGTCTCTTAGCTAAGCTGCGAACAGTATATCGCATTGATGGCAAGGCTATCGGCTGGCTCTCATCGTATCTCTCTAACCGACATCAGCTTGTACGCCTCTCAACTGTGTTATCGGAGCCTTTTCCCGTTACTTCTGGAGTTCCCCAGGGTTCAATCCTTGGGCCACTGCTATTTCTCCTGTATATTAATGACCTCCCCGATATTGCCTCTGGTGTCAGCCTTTTCGCTGACGACACAGCTCTGCTTTGCTCCAATGCTTGCCCTATACGACTGCACGAAGCCATGCAAGATAGCATTGGCAAGGTTATAACCTGGATGCATGATTGGAAGTTGCAGCCAAACGTTGATAAAACGGCAGCTATGTACATTTCCCCTTCTCCCCTTTCTCTGCCACTTTGTTTTCCTTCTTCAAGTGTTGCTATTCGTATTGTTGAAGAGCATAAGCATCTTGGCGTTGTTATTGACTCTAAATTGTCGTGGTCACCCCATGTGCACATGTCTGCAAGCGCACAAGCTCCATCCTTGGGGCTCTTCAAGCCCACTGTAGACATCTTCCTCTTTCTTGCAAACGCTTGTTTTATCGTTGCTATATATTGCCCTTACTTGACTACTGTGATACTGCTTGGTGTGGCATAACTACTACTGTATTGAACAAGCTAGAAACCCATAACCGCATGCTCCTTAAAATCTTATTTAACAAAGATCGTCGCTTTCCCTCCGCTAGTCTTTACGAAATTGCCAAGATCAGCCCCCTTTACACTCGACATAAGTACCACCTCTGTGTTCTCATAAATAAAATATTACTAAATAAAATACCCTTGCATATGCAGGCTTATAATTGGTTCTCCTAAACACGGAATACCTGGAACTCATTCAGTCTCCCACGCGCTGCCTCCACCCTATTCACTAGATCCCCGATCTTTGCTGGCTATGTGTTTTGGGCAACATTACCAACGCAGGCCAAGACCAGCACGTCGATGGATAATTTTGTTGCTAAAATCTCTGCTCGATTATAGGTTTCATGTATATCCTGCAGGTTTGTCTCCTCCTTTGCCTTCTTTGCCTTTTTAATATTTGTATTCTTTTATCTGTTTTACTGCTGTGGTTGGCTTTCACCCTTGTCTCAGTTTTACTGGCCGTCTTCATGATGTGCCATGAGATAATGATATAACTACAAATACAAAAGATACTCAGTGACCCACGTACAGATGTTTTCTGATTCACGACATACTGTACCGTGTATGGAGGCTCACCCACGTTCCGCCAAAACGTGGGTGAAAATCAGAATGGAGCACATTGTGCGAGCTGTGAGGGTGCTCAGCTGAAGAAGTTTCCGAAGCACGAAATCAAAATATTGGATGAGCATCTTAGGCCCGGGTAGCTTCGTCTTTGACCAGGTTTGGGCCTTTCGCTTTATGCTTTTGTTTGTTCCATGTGACTAAACACAACATTGCAACGTGGGTGCCCTTCATCCACTTTACGTGGATCACCCACGTACGCGTTTCCGTTACGTAGGAACTAAACCTCCCTAATGTAGGGGCTGTAGGACCGGCTCGTCAAAAATAGAGAACCTGAACAAGCGTGCTCGGGACGTCTGAGCAATCGTAGTGCAACTCACTGATGATCTCTCTGCTGACATATCTGTCATCAGAGAGTACCTACGTGACCGAGGTCTCAAACTTAATGACTCCAAGACTCAATTTATCATCATAAGACAAAAATAAAATGTGTTCCTCCAAACATCTACCTTCGGCTCAGCGATGTCCTCATATCCCCAACACCAACGGTGAAGTATCTTGGCCTCACCATTGACGAACATCTATCCTTCTCCTCATACGTCACTGACGTTGAGAAAAAGGTCGGAACAAAACTTGCCATGTTCCGCAAGATCAGGGACAACCTGACACCAGCTGCGAGAAAGACCTTTTACTGCTCATTAATTTTATTCAAGCACACCTTGAGTATGGTTCTAATGCGTTTGTACACTGCCTTCACACCACACAACATGATAGACTAACTCGTATTGCTAACCGCGCTGTTAGGATTGTTTTTGGTGTCCCTTGGCACTATGTTAAGGACTTTTGCAACATTTCAACTCGTAAACCATTGATACCAGATTTGCAAGATGGCGATCGTCGGAATAACACGCAATTGGAAAAGGTGAACCTTCTTGCACAGCATTTCGCCAATCAGTGTACGTTACCACAAGAAGCAAATCAATTCCCTTGTTTAGATTCCTCCCTTGACACTACCACTCCTCGGTTCCAGATGCCAACATTTTCACCAGGTCAAGTCCACTATGACCTTACACATCTTTCTTCTCGAAAATCGACTTCAAGTAATTATATTATTCCAGTACTCCGGTCCATGGATGATTTAGTATGCGAGTCCTTGTCTTACTTGTTCAACTCCAGTCTATCCACATCACAATTTCCCACTGCATGGAAATCAGCAACGGTTATTCCTCTTTTTAAGGGTAAAGGAAGTGCTTCTTTGCCCACGAACTACCGTCCAATTTCACTGCTCCATCCCATCAGCCGCCTCTTCGAATCCCGCATAGCCCATCACCTGAACAGCTTTCTTTACCGTAGTTGCATAATTTCGTGCAGTCAATTTGCTTACGTTCCACAACGATCAGCTACGGATCAACTCATTCTTTTGACCCATCAGATTGCCCGTCTCTCTGATAGAGGCCAGAGATTTGACTGTGCATTTCTCGACTTCCAGAAAGCGTTTGATAAAGTACATCATCTTACGCTCCTGCGCCACATGAATGCATTCATGGCACCAGAGGCACACGCCTGGTTTGGGTCCTACTTGCTTGACCATAGTCTAAATGTGAAGCTGAATGGAACTCACTCTTCTCAATATATGCTTTAACTGTGGTGTTCCCCAGGGTTCGTACCTTGCCCCTCCGCTTTTTCTTTTGTATATCAATTCCCTGCCTGACATAGTAAACCACACCTCACCCCTTCTCTTTGCTGATGATGTCACTCTTCTAAATGCTCATAATGTATCCCTCTCCTTAGATGAGAACATGTCCCACCTCCAGCAGGATCTGGCCAGCTGCCAGAATTGGGCTCAGAATATCCCTGGGAAATTTTCTCCAGAAAAAACTTTCATCTTTTCGAATCATGACATTCCTGACTCCTCCTCTGTTTTAATGGACGGCGTTCCTATTGCCTTTGGACGTTCTGCTAAGCATCTCGGCGTACAGCTCAGTGATGGTTTGAAGTTCCATGACCACTTCCACACCATCTTCAGGAAGTTTCAGCAACGAGTCAACCTGTTATGTTTCATGGGCAGACATTTACCATCGTCCCATATTCTCCTCTTGTATAAGTCTTACATGTATGTGCGCCCGGCAATTGAATATGCCAATCCTGTCTGGTCATTTAGGATCACATCCGCTCAGTTAGGGTCCCTTGATGTACTCCAGGCTAAGGTTTGCCGGCGACTCCTGAAGTCTGCAAAAATAACCTTTGATATCTATGAATAGATTGTGTCACTTAGAATCTCTGCAATTTCGCCGTATCTTTATTTCTCTTGTTGTTTTATTTAAGTACATCAATTTTCACCCAGAATATCTCTCTCGCTTTGCGATAACCATATCACGTAGTGCCCGTAGGCCCAAAAAGCTCATTTTAACTCACATGGTCGTATTTTTTCATCCCTTTTCCTACAGAAAACTGGTTCTCTTTGGAATTGTCTTCCACCCCGATTGACAACTTTAGATTCCCTATCTGAATTCAAGCGTCATTTACGTATTCATATTGCTAAGTATCAGTTCGACTGCACTGGTACACCTTTGATGTGCAATCATTGATTTACATGCTTGTTCTTTTCTTTTCTGTCTTACTTTCTTTCCTTGTGTTTCTTATTATTCCTTTTTAAAACCAACATTTCACACTCACTTTCCGCACTTTCTCTCGCATCCCTAAGTTACTAGTACATACACAAATAGGAGATCCCCCAGATAGGCGTTATCCTTTGGGTAATCCTGAAATAAAAGATTATTATTATTATATTATGATGTTTCTGTCTTACACACCAGATATGGCCTTGCTCCTATTGCACTGCGCTACCAGCTTAAACTGTATATTCTTGTCTTTCGGGCCCTACGTGGCATGTGTAGCACTCTGCCCTCTGATTGCTTCTGCCTTCGTTCTGCCACAACACACACAGCTGCCCGTACACGTTCCCAGTCCATAGATTCACTTGCTCTGCCTAAAGCACGCAATCGTTATGGCGTATTCACTTTGAGCTTTCTGGCTTCTGACCGCTGGAATTCTCTTCCAGCTGACATTCGCTCTTGCTCCTCGCTTTGACTATTCCGCAAATCTGTACGTGATCACATAGGGTACCCTGTAAAAAGGCCTTAGGCCTGTGGGGATTGCCCTATTCAAAATTTAAATAATAATAATAGTATGCCTGAGCACTCCAATAAAAACTTGATCAATGGCAAAATCGTTCCCCACAGAAAAATCATACTTTGCGAGTCTTGCGTCGCACGCTTGGAGGTGAAGTACAGAAGGCGAGTCGATCCGAGTATGACCTTTCGGACTGGATTGGACTGAACTATTCCAAAAATAACAACGAGGGGTTACGGGTGCGAGTCAACCCCTAGCCCTGTGCATGTGACACAGATTTCTGTGCCGTGTCACCTCCCTACAATAATGTGTTCCTCCAAATTGTAGTTTGAGTACGACTCCCTGGTTCCTCCCAACTATAGACCTGTATCCCTTCTCCCAATACTGAATAGTGTCCAAGTAATTAGTTAGTTGCTGGAGAGGATAGTGCAACACCAGTTAGTTCGTCATTTGGGCTTGAGCAAGGCATTACCCGAAACACAATTTGCCTTCCGCAAGAAATGCTCTCTGTGCTGACGGATACTATGCAGAAGGCGAGAGATAGTGGCAAGACCACAGGGCTGTGCCTATTAGACATGTCGAAGGCTTTTGATAAAGTGCACCACGACACGTTGATCCAAGACCTCCTTGAGGTTGGAATTTCTGGAAAAGCCCTTTAATAGTCAAAGGACCAAAATATGCGAAAATATTCGCAAGCATATTCGGGCCCTCCCTATCCAGAATGTACCGTGCAAGTTCATTTTGAAATTCACAAGCAGGTTGGTTTGGCTGTGAAATACATCAAAAGTCTCCAGAAAAAGCAGTTTTTCTCTCTTTCTGCAATATTCCGCGTATGTAAAAAAACACACACACACAATAGCCGTATGCAATAGAGTGTCTGAATTTGCATGTACAACCGACCACGGATGAACAGAAGAAAAATTAGGGAGTCCATCGAGATTCGAGAGCATCGTCCGGAGATAAACGAGAGAGCTTGGAAGCTCAGGGCCCTACGCTATGCTTTTTTGCTTTGATGACCTAGACAAAAAAAAGCATAGGGATGTTATAAATTCTTTAAAAAATTCCTTTTTTTAGACATAACCTGGGATTCGAACCCGCACTATCGCGCGCCCTGCATTCATCCCCCGATGCACTTCGCATACATACTAATTCTTCCAACTTGTTTCACATTGTGATCTTGCATTTGAAAGCCCTATTTGAGTTATATGCATTGTGGCCAGCCGTCTTTGATGGCACGGTACGGTAGGGGATAGGGACGGGACAGGTACGATCGAGGGTAATACGACACCGTCTCCCGTACCGTACCGTACCATCAAACACAGCTGGCCACATACAGCTTCCCGCAATATTCAAATAGGGCTTTCAAACGCAAGATAATAACGTAACGCAACTTGGAAGAATGGGTATGAATGCGAAGTGTATGGGGGAATGCATGTAGGGCGATAGTGCGGGTTCGAATCCCAGGATATGTCTGAAAAAAAAGGAGAATTGAAAAATTTATAACATCCTATGCTTTTTTGCCGTCAGATACGGATAGCGCCAGGCGTGACACAAACAAACAAACACACAAACAAACACCAAATTAAAGCTGTGTGGACCCTGGCTAGCGCCAGACGTTACTGAAGTAACGTCTTCTGCATAGCTACGGGAATAAAGTGCGTTTCAGTTATAGTGTGGTCGTATACAAGAACATACTGCTTACAAGAATGAACACTCATTTTTTCATAATCATAACACATATTTTATGTGTATATTTATTCTTACAAGCAGTATTATCGCATGGTAGAGTATATCGGCCCTA